CTCAGGCATTCATAAACAATTTTATGGAGTTGCTGTTCCCAGCTCCTGACCTGCATGTGCATGGCCTGGATCCTGATTAACATACCTAAGACTTTGAGAACTGAGCTAATATTAGACCTCTTTCCTGGTCCCAGACTGACCCTTGGGTGCTACATGTGTGGGACAGTCCTGAATAACGCTGCAAAATCTGTGAAAACTGATCTGACACTGGAAACATACTCACAGAAGACAGGATGGTACTTACGGATTGTCTGCTAAAACAAATATATCAACATTCTCCACAGGATTTAAATAAGACCTAGAGTCTCATAATGTAATATTCAAAGAGTCCAGGATACATTCCAAAATTACTCAGCATACAAAGAACAATGAAATGTTCAATTCAAATGGAGAATGACAATCAACAGGTGCCAAGAATGAGATAATGCAGATGTTGGAATTATCTGCCAAGCACTTTAAGAGAGCTATTATAAAAATGATTGAATGAGCAATCATGAAAATTCTCAAAACAAATATTAAAATGGAAAGTACTAGAACAGAAAAAAAGACCATAAAGATTAACCAAATGGAAATTTTAGAACTGAAAAATAAAATAACAACATCAACAAAAATCACTGGATGGACTCAGTAGCAAGTTAGAGATAACAGAGAAAAGAGCCAGCGAACTTGAAGATAGATCAATAAAAATTATCCAACTGAATAAGAGAGAAAAAATATTGAAAAAAATTAATAGAATTTCAGGAAACTGTGGGACAACAAAAAGTCTAACAGTCAAGTAATTGGAGCCCCAGAAAGAGGAGCGTGAGGTGGAAAAAATATTTGAAGAAATAATGGCCCCTCAAACTTCCCAAGTTAGGTAAAAAGCATTAGCAGATTTCTCATCAGAAACCATGAGGGCCAGAACGAAATGCACAACATTCAAAAACTCCTAAAAGGCTAAAAGAAAAGAACTATCAATTATGAAATTCATATTCAGTGAAAATAGCCTTCAGGAATGAAGGTGAAAGAAAGGCATTCACCTACGAAAAAAAAACTAGGAGAATTCATAGACAGCATACCTGCTCTAAAAGAATTGCTCAAGGAAGTTCTTCAGACAGTCAAAAGGACATAGAAAGGAAACTTGGAACATCAGAAATGAAGGAAGAACAACAGAAATGGTAAGTATAATAGATTATTCTTCTCTTGAGTTCTTTAACACATGCTTGATAGTGAAAAGCAAAACATTTCATACTGATGACTTTTTAATATATATGGATATAGTATATAATGCACCTATAACACGAAGGAGGAAGGATAAAGGCACCTATATGGTGGTAAGTTTTTTAAATTCCAATTAAAGTAGTAAAATATTGATTCTAAATAGATTATGAAAAGTTAACTATGTATTTTGTAATCCCCATAATAGTCATAAAATTTAGTGCAAATAAATATTGTCAAAATCACGATAAATACAAGAATAAGTTCAAACAATCCAGAAGAAGGCAGGGAAGGGCAAACAGGAGCAATAAATGGGGGGAGGGGGGGAGAAGAGAAAGCAAATAATAAAATGGCAGATTAAATCCAAACATATCAGAAATTAACCAAGTGAAAATGGTTTAAACACGTCAATCAAAACATGAGATTGTCAGAAAATTTAAAAAAATGACCCAACTTACTCCTGAAACTAAAACAATATTGTAAATCAACTGTACTTCAATAAAAAAGAATGATCTAACTATAGGCTAGCTATAAGAAACATCAAATACAGTGATATAGGAACTTGAAAAGTAAGAGGATGGAAAGAAAGATATACTATGCAAACATGAACCAAAAGAAACTGGACAAAGTAGACTTTAGAGTAAAGAAAATTACCAGGGATAAAAAGAGACATCACATATTAAAGAAGAGTCAATCCACCAAGAAGACACATAACTCTAAAGCACCTAACAACAGAGTTCCAAAATACACAAACCCCAACCTGTCAGAACTGAATAGAGAAATAAACAAATCCAAAGTTATAGCTGGAGATTTCAACACTCCTTTCTAATTAACAGAACTAGAAGACAAAAAGCTCAGGAAGAATGAACATAAATACAAAACAGAAACAGACTCATAGACATAGACTACAAACTTGTGGTTGCCAGAGGGGAGGAGGGTAGTAAGGGACAGACTGGGAGTTTGAAATTTGTAGATACTGACAGGTATGTATAGAATAGATAAACAAGATTATACTGTATAGCACAGGGAAATATATACAAGATCTTGTGGTAGCTCACAGCGAAAAAATATGTGACGATGAATATATATATGTTCAGGTATAACTGAAAATTTGTGCTCTACACTGGAAATCGACACAACAGTGTAAACTGACTATAACTCAATAAAAATAAAATTTAAAAAAAAATCAGGAAGGATATAAAATTGAACAACACCATCAACTGCATCTAACTGACTCCTGTAAAATGCTCCACTCACAACAGCAGAATAGACATTTTTTTCAAGTGCACATAGAACGCTTAGCAAGACAGACCATAACCTGGGTCATAAATCAAACTTTAATGAATTTCAGAGAATTGAAATTATAGAAAGTATGCTCTCTGACCATAATAGAATTCAACCTGAAGTCAATACCAAAAAGATAACAGTAAAATCTCCAATCATTTGGAAATTAAACAACACACTCAAAGGAGAGGTCTCCAAGGAAATTAGAAAGTTTCTTGAACTTAGCAAGAATAAAAAATGAAATCAGTCTTTGTGGGCTGCAGAAAAAGCAGTGCTGAGAGGAAAAACTATGGCATTAAATGCTTGTTTTAGAAAAGAAGAAATGTCTCAAATTCATAATCTAAGATTCCAATTTCAGAAGCTAGAAGAGGGAGGGTATAGCTCAGTGAGAGCGCATGCCTAGCAGGCACAAGTTCCTGGGTTCAATCCCCAGTACCCCCATTAAAAAAGTATATAAATAAATAAATCTAATTATGCCTCCCACCTCCCCCACCAAACAAAACAAAAAAGAAGCTAGAAAAAGAGCAATGTAAATCCAAATAAAGCAGAAGGAAGAAAATCATGAAGATAAGAGGATAAATCAATGAAATCAAAAGTTGGTTCTTTTAAAAGATCAATACACTGATAAACCTCTGGCAAGACTGACAAAGAATAAAGAGAAGATGCAAATAACCAGTATCAGGGGATAAAAGGGGGATGTTACTGCAAACCTCACAGACATTATTTAAATACTATGAACGACTCTACACAGATAAATTTGACAACTTCTATGGAAATGAGCAGTTCCTTAAAAGTCAGAAACTACCAAACCTCAGCAAGATTAAATAGATAACCTGAGTAGCCTTAAAATTATTACAGAAAGTTTAAAAGAAATCTCCAGGTCCAAATGACTTCACTGATGAATTTTGCTAAATATGTAAAGAATAAAGAACAATAAATTAAAAAAAAAGAATAAATAGACCCTATCTTTTCCAGCGAATAGAAGGGACCACTTTCTAACTCATTTTCTGAGGCCAGTATTACCCTGATATCAACACCAGACCAAGACAGTAGAAATAAAGAAAACCAGAGACCAATATCTCTGATGACCATAGATGCAAAAATCCTCAATGAAATTTTAGAAGGTTGAATTCAGTAATATATATAAAAAAATATGCCATCACCAAGGCGGGTTTATCCCAGGAATGCAAAAATCTATCATGTTAATGTCTAAAGAAGAAAAGCCATATGGTCATATCAACAAATGCAGAAGAAACATTTGATAAAATACATCCAAAAGAATAATAATAATAATTTAAAAACTCTCAGCAAACTAGAGGAGAACTTTCCCAACCTGAGAAAGGGGATCTGTGAAAAACCCTACAGCTAACATCGTATTTAATGAAGATAGACGGTCTGCTTTCTCCTAAGATTGGGAACAAGGCAATGGTACCTACTCTTCCTATTCCTATTCAACATACTATTGGCAGTCTTTAGTTCAATAAGGCAAGAAAAAGAAATAAACATGTACATATTGGACAAAATAAAACTGTCTACTCATAGAAGACATGATTATATATCCAAAGAATCCCAGAGAAGCTATAGAGATACTCTTAAGAGCTAAGAAGTGAGTTTAGCAGTCATCAGGTACAAGGTCAACCTACAAACATCAATCATACTTCCATAAATGAGCAACGAACAATTGGAAACAAAAAATATTTTAAATAATAATAACATTTATAATAGTTCCAGAAAATGAAATACTTGGAGAGAAATCTAACAAAACATGTACAAGATCTGTAGGCTGAAACCTACAAAATGCTGATGAAAGAAATCAAAGAAGACCTAAATAACTGGAAAGACACACCATGTTCATGGATTGGAAGACTTCAAATGGTAAAACTGCCCATTCCCTCCAGATTGTTCTACAGATTTACAGTAATTCCAATTCAAATTGCAACCGGATTTTGTTTTTGTAGATACAGTCAAGCTGATTCTAAAATGTATATGGAAGGCCAAAGGGACCATACAGCTATTTTCTGTAAAAGAGCTAAAACAATTTTTTTGGGAAAACAAGTTGGAGAAATCACACTATCCAATTTTAAGGCGAATTTATAGTGACAGAAGTCAGACCAGTGGTTTCCTGGGGATGGGGGCAGGCATACAGAAGGACCAAAGGAAAGGATGACAAAGGGACACAGGGACAGTCTTGAGGGTAATGGATAAATTCATCATCTTACTTGTGCTGTTGGTTTCATTAATGTATATATATGTCAGATTATCCAATTAAATACTTTAAATATCTATAGGTCAATTATAACTCAATAAGGCTATTTTTTAAAAAAAAGTATTCTTTCCAAAGTGATACATTACTTTTATATCTATTAGATGGCAGTTGGAACCATGGAGTTCTGCCGAAGTGTAGGATTCTTACCCACCAGCAATATTTTAGTTTGTGAAATAACCCTATAGGAAGGTATGGTTAGCATAGCAGCATGTTTTATAAGATTATGGTGGAAATAAAAAGGACCAAATCATAATAAGCGTTACCAGACTACTATTTATTAGCGTCTTGAAGCTTTCGGTATAGGAAGTATGGAATGCGGAATAAAGAACAGACACGGTCCCTTCCCTCTCCCCCAACGGCACCAGCAATTTGCAAAGAATCAAGAGGCTGGTTGACAGCTGAACAGCTCTTTAAATTTCTATATAATGTGTTACTGAAACCACCTGTCACCCCTTGTTAAAAATGCTCTACCTTTTAAAAATTGTAAATAAAAATTTAATCCTGTTAATATCATTGCTCCTTTTTTTTTTTAGGTAACTAGACTGAAATTTCAGCTCTAGAATTTTCTTGTTGTCTTCAGAGTCTTCTCCACTAGGACAGACGGTCTGTCACTCATCCTGCATAAGGATGAGGAGGAATTCCTTTGACCCCCAGGCCAGTTATCTGTTAAAAAAAGAAAAAGAGAGAAACTCTGACACATAGTAATTCACAAGTAGTCTCCAAAAGCATTTTTATGATTCACAACAATATATTTAGCCACCCGTTATTCCTGTTTTATTTCCTATCATAAAAAGGAGTTGCTTGATTAGGTATTTATTCATGGTTCAACCCAATTATTTGCATAGATAATAATCCAACTAGCAACCATTTACAGCTAACTTGGATTTAAACTTGAATTTATTTCTATCATTTTCCCATCTGTTATGAAAGGGGTTTGAGCTGGATGATTTCTACATTTCTTTTCAGCTCAAAAGGTCTATCTTTTTTTTCTTGTTTCTTTTTTAATTTCAAGTTTTTGATTTACAACACTATATTAGTTTCTGGTATACAGCACAGTGATTCAGTATATACATATATATTAATATAAATATATATATATTTTTCTTTTTCATTACAGGTTACTACAAGCCATTGGATGCAGTTCCCTGTGCTATACAGTAGGACCTTGTTGTTTATTCTGTACATAGTGGTTTGTATCAGCCAGGTCTATCATTATTATCACTGTTCAATTCATTGCCAAAAAAAAGTTAAGAACTTGAAAATATTCTTGTGACACCAAAACAATCAATTAATCTTATAAACATATTTCAAACACTGGTTTTCCAAGCCTATTCTACCGATTTATAGAATTTCAACAAACACTGATGAAGCCAAAAAAAATATTTTTAAGTACTGTACAAAGTAGGCTAGACACATTGTCCTGGACTTCAGATTACTTCAGGTCTAGAAAATTTATAAGATGTTTTTAAATCTAGCATGATGAGCTTAAAATGCCAAATAGAATTGTGTTTAGGAAGTACAAAGAAGCACTAATCACTCAGTTGCTTAACTGAAGATCTCCCACCTCACTGTCAAAATAAAATAGCCAGTTCACCTTGAAAATTCCACCAGCCTCAGGCTGCCGCAGAAGATCCTCAGAGTCCAGCCCATCCCGGGCGCTGGTCACGTACATTTCAGAGTAATCCTTTCCTCCAAAGCAGCATGAGGTTGTTTTATCAACAGGCAACTTCACAGTTTGGAGTCTTTTCCCTAGATCACCAAATATTTCGTTCAAAGTCTAGCTCTAGCAAATTTCCAACCCATGCATCATTTCGGGACCCCTTGCGGAGCAATAGGGAGGTTCCAAGGAGATCTGGAGGTCAGAATTCACCGAGGTATTTCATTTCCCTAACAATTAATTTATTTTGTGCAAAAAGACTTATCTTCTACAGGAAAAAAGTTCCAACCAATAAACTTTGGGCTCTATCTTTGGCATTTATTCCCAAAATCATCCAATTGAGACCTTTGAATATATCTCTATATGACTTTATTAGTAATGAAGTTTCTCCAGCCCCTTAAGGTCTGGTATTTTCTAGACATAACGGGGATTATTCATTTTGCTGTGGGTCTACCTGTCTCAGGATCCAGACGAATCACTCTTCCTCCATTGTAACAGGCCACCCAGAGCTTTCCCGCAACATCAATACACATTCCATCTGGGATTTGTTCTTCTTTCTCCAGTTTGTAAACACTTCTGCGGTTGGCTATGGTAAACACACACACACACACACACACACACACACACACACACACACCCAAAACAACAGACTACTCAATACTAAGCATCAAACAATAAGCAATCAAGTTGATTATAAATACTGACCACTTCTGCTTATCCACGGTCTGGCATGTGGGCACTACAGGCAGGATGATTTAGGAGGATTCCTAATTCTAAAAATGTATAGAAACAGGAGTGGGTAGCCCTCAACAAAGGATTTTTACTGCTGGATTTTGGGTGGATTCACTCCCTTTAGTTTGGGTACAGACACAGCTGTCTAAGCATTCAGAGAAGGAGACAAAAAAGAAAGGAGAATTCTTTAAAAAAAATCAAAGGAACTTTTTTTTATGGGGGAGGGCATAGCTCAGTGGTACAGCACACGCTTAGCATGCACGAGGTCCTAGGTTCAATTCCCAGCACCTCCATTAAAAAAATAAATTTCTTTTTGAGGCTGATCTGAGCCGAAGCCCTGCATGCCCACCTTGGATACACTTCAGTCTGCGGTTAGACCTTGCTGTTTTATTTACAAAAATGCCTACTTTGATTAACTCCAAGATCTAGAAGGCTATGTGAACAGCTCATGCACAAAAACTAGTTAGATGTCTGAGTTCTGTTTCTGCCTGACTAACTGCTCCAAGATCATCTTGTCAAAATTAATATTAGAAGAGCTCATTTCTGAAAGGTATTCCAAAACCAGCTGGATGACCTTAAAGGGGGAATCATAATAGACAAGAAATAAACATCAAAATCCAAAGGAAATTTATACTACAAAAGCCAGGTCATTACAGTAACCAGATTGAGGTATGATGGAAAAAAAATGTTAAAACCTCATGTAAGTAAAATGGGTAAAAACAGTCATGAAAAAGAGCGCTACATATTTCAAAGCAAAACATCTGTGTTGGAATAGTTTGCCTCTGATTAAATCTACATGGAAGTCTTACGATTTTTTTCCACGTCATTTTTCTGATTGGTTTTGCTCCTGTGGTTTGGCACCTTTCATGAAAGTTTCAAGCACTCCCTTCTAACTTCGTCCCAATAATTCCTTCCCTCCCAGTTTCTAACCATGGCTCATTCAGAGCCCACTGATGGAGTTGAGCAATCTGTAATTACTTTTTTTTCCTTTTCCATTTGGAAAGGTTGTTAACTTGTCTTTGAGTACTTGCCTAGAGTTAACTAAATTATGAATAAGAAATATCAACCCTGAAGTCTAATTTTTTATTCTTTTGTCCTGTTCTGCTGTATATTATTTTGTCTTGAAGCATCTGTTGGTAGAACAGGACCCATTTTAAAGTCAGCCTCTTTATAGTGAGAGTTGCAAGAGAGAGGATTAAGGAGCTGACCATATTATGCCAATTGTGGTCAAACTGAGTTGTGTTGAGAGCCATGACGTGACAGGTGGCATAGCCTGTGTAATCATTACAATACTGGAATCATAACATTGGACAGTTCTCTATTTGACAAATAAGGATTGTTTCACATGGGTTGGGGAGAGGCAACTTACTAGTCACATACATATGAAAAAAAAAATACCAGCAGGGGAAGGGTATAGCTCAAAATGGTAGAGCGCATGCTTAGCATGTATGAGGTCTTGGTTTCAATCCCCAGTACCTCCTCTTTAAAAAAAAAAGTAAATAAATAAATAAACCTAATTACCTCCCCAACCCCCCCCAAATGCCAGCAATTTGAAGAAAAATAATGAAAAAGTACATACAGATCTTTCCTGTCTGCAGGTCATAGTCAAAAGCATCCACAGAGTAGGACAGGCTGTCGATGTAATAGAAGATTTTGTGGTCCAGAGACCAATCCAAGCCATTGGAGATGTCCACCTGGTCAAAGTACTTTTCCACGTGGTGGTTGGGAAAGAGGGAGTACAGGGACCCTTGGTGTCGCTCCAGAACTGCTGGAGCTGTTTCCTCAGCCATGGTGCCTACAAAAACCCAAGGGTACCGAGCTTAGCCACACAGCATCCCACCTACACACTGTATCGTCTTCTTTCGCCAAGGCTCCTTCCCCATGATGAAATCAAGTAAATTATTATGTAGTCCCAATCTGGGTCCTATGGGTTTTTTCCCCCCCAAATGACAACTAACCTTGCTTATAATGCAAATTAAAACTACCCTGAGAGGGTCTGGTTCCAGACATCTGCACCAACCTCATTTTCTCCCATTGAGCACAACTCTTAAGATCTGGGCAAAATGCATGGTGTAGCTTAGCTATTTGAGAACTCGGACAAGTCGGTGTCAGGCAGCTCAGAGAAGAACACAGAATTTGAAGTATCACCTAACTGGTGGCGAGTTCTCCATTTTTATCCTCCAGTCTGTCCCAGCCTGAACTCAATCCAGCCTGAAACTTGGAAGTGAGCGCTGTAGTGCAGACAGAGAGCGAGCCAAGAGAAACCCTCTCTATCTGGCTCAAGGAGCAGAAACGCTCCTGAGGCTCAGGGAGAGAGTGGAAGAAATCCCCTGGTTATTTTCCACTTCTTTTTCTCCAGTTTCTCATGCACCAGTCCCCAGGCAATTCTGCAGCCAGGGTAGCAAAGGGAGGGAGGGGGCCCGCGACAGGAAACTACAGGAATCAAAACTCTGAGGGAAGGGGACATTCCTCTCTATTCAGTGAAGCTTCAGGGATGAAAGGGCAGAGTCAGACACTGTTGCTTTCATGTTTTCTTTCTCTTTCTCTCTCTCTCTCTCAACTCCTGCCAGGGAAGTGGGTGGTTTCTTGCTGGAGGAATGAAAAGGAGAGCTCCAGGAAATTGGAAAGTACTAGAAGATAGTGAAGAGGGACATTGGTCAGAAAGACAACCCTGTAAAGCTGTTTGTGATCTCTTGGGCTCACTTCTGCTTGTATATGCTTGGATCTGATTATAATTAGCACACCAAAGACTTGGAAAACGTAGCTGATGGATAGAACTTCTTCTAGGTCTCAGACTGACCACTGCGTGGCACACACGTGGGACAGATCCTAATGGCACCTAATAGAAAGCAGGTGGGAACTTGTGGTCTGAACCTAAACATACAGATTACTTACTAAAACAAATACATCAACGTTCTCCGTAGGATTTAAACAAGACTCAGCGTCCCATAATGTAACAGTCAAAATGTTCAGGATACAATCCAAAATCACTTGGCAACACAAAGGAGCATGAAAATCTCAACTTGTGCAGGAAAAAGAATCAACACACGCAGACGATGAGACAGCACAGATGTTGGAATTATTTGACAAAGACCAAAGCAGCTCTGATGAAAATGCTCAAATGAACAATTTGTAAAGTCTTCTTAAAACTCCAAATGGCAGCAAAGAAGTGGAAGATATAAAGAATACCCAAGTGAAAATTTTAGAACTGAAAAATAAAATCAATGAAATAAAAAAAACCACTGGATGGACTCAATAGCAGAATAGAGATGACAGAGGATACAGTCAGAGGCTAGATCAATAGAAATGATTCAATCTGAACAATGGAGAAAATAGACTGAAAAAAAAAAAGAACAGAGCATCAGGGACCTGTAGGATAACAATAAAAGGGCTAACAGATGTGTCATTGGATTCCTAGAGAAGAGGAGAAAGAATACAGGGCCAAAAAATATTTGAAGAAGTAATGGCTCAAAACTCTCCAAGTTTGGTGGAAAGCACAAAACTATAGATTTGAGAAGCTGAGTAAATCCCAAACAGGATTAAAAACCCAAAGCAACCTACACCTAGACACATCATAATCAAATCTCTGAAAACTGACGTTAAATAGAAATCCTCGAGATCAATGAAAGAAAAATGACGTATTACATCTAGGAGAATAATGATTTCAATGAGTGTTGATTTTTCATGAGAAACTGTGGCAGTCAGAAGGAAGTGACCTTTTTAATTTGTTGAAAGAAAAAAAAAGTGTCAACCTAGAATTCTATATTAAGTGAAAATATCCTTCAAAAATGAAGGTGATAAAAAGACATTCTCCTATGAAGTAAAACTAAGAGAATTCATAGCCAGCAGACCTGTCCTAAAAGAATTGCTAAAGGAAGGAATAATAGAAAGAGTAAATATTTGAGTAAATATCATAGACTATTCTTCCCTTTAGTGCTTTAAAATATTTCTGATGATCGAAAGCAAAAATTACAGTTTCTGAGGGGACAGGGTATAGCTCAAAGTGATAGAGCACATGCTTAGCGTGCACGAGGTCCTGGGCTCAATCCCCAGTGCCTTCTCTAAAAATAAATAAATAAACAAACAAACAAACCTAATACCCCCCACCCCCAATTTTTTTAAACTAAAAAATGTTTTTAAATGTTAAAAAAATTACACTTTCTCATTGGGTTTTCAATCTATGTGTATAAAGACAACTATAACATAAATGAGTGATTACCAATTAAAGTGGTAAAATATTGGCTCTAGATAGACTGTGAAAAGTTAACCATACATTTTGCAATCCCTTCAGGAACCCTTACAAATCTATACAGAGAGATATAGTGAAAAATCACAATAAATAAATTAAAATTGAGTTCTAAATAATGTTCAAATAACCCCCAAAAAAGTCAGGAAAGGGGAAACAGAGGAACAAAAAATACAGAGGGAGAGAAGAGAAAACAAATAGTAAAATGGTAGATCTAAGTCAAAGCATATCAATAATTATATTAAGTGTAAATAATCTAAACACATCAAGAAAGAGATTGCCAGAATAAATTGTTTTTGAAAATAGAACCATACACTGCCAACAAGAAACTCAGTTCAAATATAATGATATAGGTAGCTTAAAAGTAAAAGAATGGAAAAAGATGTATCCTATGCAAATGTTAAAAGAAAACCGCGTAGAGGCTATGTTAATGTCAGACAAAATAAAATAGATTTAGAGGGAAGAAAATTACCAGAGGTAAATAGGGGTACTAGATACGGTGAAAATGGTCACTTCACTAAGGAGACATAATAATCCTAAATGTTTATGTGTTTAACAACAGAGCTTCAAAATATGCAAAGCCAAAGTCAGGACTGAAAGGAGAAACAGACAAATCCATAATTACGGTTGGAGACGTCAGCATCCCTCTCTCAATAACGGATACAAGTTCGTAGAAAATCAGCAAAGAAATAGCAGAACTGAACACCATCAACCAACTGGATCTAAGTGACACTTATAGAACATCCCATTCAAAGACAGCAGAAGATACATTCCTCTCAAGTGCCCACGGAATAGTCACTTAGATAGACCTGAGTGTGATCTCAGGGGACAGAACAGATTTTTGACATCCTGAAGAAACTGGAAAGCTCATTTACTATACTGTGCTCCATTGGAAAGAAGAATGAGTCAGAGGAAAATGGACTGAAACTTGGAAGCCTGAATAGCAAGCAAGACAGGATAAATCCTCCCTCCCTGTTTTCTGCTATAAGGCAGTTGGGTTTGTTTCACTAATATTCTGGCCCTGTCCGCTCCCTTCCCTGCTATCTGCCTTAAGGAAAAGAGATGCCTGGAATATGAATGTGAATACCCTGCTGCTTGGAAAGGGCTCTTCCATGGTGTGAAGGGACAACCTGGAGCCCTGGTTTATGCATCATTATCTCATAGTGAGCCCAGACAGGTGAGGCCTTGGGTGTGGGGACACCTTCAGGGTATTACCCAAGACTGAGAGACGCCACCTAGATGATCAGATGACCCCACCATTTTCTGGGCCATGGACAGCGCTCAACGTCTGCTGAAGTCTATGGGCTTGCTCTAGAAAGAGGTTCTCAGATGCTTCTGACAGATGCAAAATGATGCCTACAATTTTAAGGGGTCTCAAGAGGGCACAGGTTAAGAACTAGGGACTCCAGGCTAAGAACTCAGGCCTCTGACATTTTAATTTTGTCTTACCAAGAGCCACAGAGCTGTAAACTTCTAGTCATAAGGGAGAGAGAAAATCAATTTCAACAGGAGGTAGGGTATCCAATCATATTTCTTCATCCCGCATTCATTACTGGCAGAATGGCTTCCAACGGATTCTCACCTCTAATCTTTCAACCTGTCCTGGACTATATCTTTGGTTGTTTAAAGTCCAAGCAGGTGGGAATCAATCCACAGCCAGCTGCCCAGATCTCACCCACCTTCCGTGTTGAAAGTGAATGGAGCCAGGACAGCATGGCTGATGATGTGAGGGGCAGAATGGGGAGGTGGAAACAGCAGGGATTTAGAATCCACTTTGGCTAACTACAGGGTTGTTAGGATGGGAGGTAAATGAGAATTCAATGTGAAATGCATTATTTCATTTCAAACTAGAATTAAAATTCATTTAAAGCTGTATATGTCATTCTGTAGCCATCATAATAAAGATGGCTTCAGGCAAGAATCATCAAGGAATGGAAAACCTAAGGGAGAAAATTGATGAGGACCAGGATCCTTGCTTGGACTTCAAGTATCTCCCCACATTGCAGCCAGCCTCCTGGATGGCCCCTCATGGTCCCTGCCTCCCAGTATTTACACCCTTGTCTAGTCCCCCCTCCATAACTGTATGACCAATGGCACATGGCAAAGTGATGTTATGTCACTTCTGAGATTGGTTATGACTGTAGCTTCTGTCTTGGGTGTCCTCTCTCTCTCATCACTGGCCCTAGGGGAAGCCATGTCCCAGGCAGCCCTCTGGAGAGGCTCATGTGGTAAGAAATTGAAGCCTCCTGCCACCCCCCATGTGAGTAAGCTTGGAAGCAAACCCTCCAGGCCCCTTCAGAAACTCCAGATCCTTCCAAGGCTGTAGCCCCAGCCAACATCTTGACTGCAACTTCATGACGTAACCTTGAACTATCCAGCTAAGGCACCTAAATTCTTGACCTTCAGAAACTATGTGAGATAATAAATGTTTGTTATTTTAAGCCACTAAATCCCAGGGTAATTTGTTACACAGCAATAGATCACTAACAAACCCCATAAAATGCTTATAAATTGCAATTAAAAATAGTAACAATGGAGTGGAGAAATCCAAGACCTCAACTGGATGATTAAAACTAACATCACCGACGAGGGACAGATGGTATCCAGATGGGATACCCTGAGAAGGACAGAGCATCACCTATGCGGTGATTCTAGCCATGAATGTAGAGCATCAATCTAATCACCAGGAAACATGAGACAAACACAAAAACATAAGGAACATGAGGAATATTCTATGAACAAAGAGGGGAGTTGGGTAGGACTGTATTCTTCAAAAATGGCAATGTCATAAAAAACACACACACAAAGAAATGCTATGTCCTGTTCCAGATGAGAGAAGATTAAAGAGAATGACAGCTAAATACAATATATAATCCTAGACTGGATCCTGTACTGGGTAAGGGGGATGCTCTAAAAGACATTACCCAGTGAATTGACACAACTGGGATACAGATAGTGCATCAGACACAATGACTGTATAACGTTAAACGTCTTTAAGTTGATTACTGTACGGTGGTCATATAAGAACGTGTCTTTTTTTTTTCTTGGGAAAGTCACACCGAAATATTTTAGAGGTAAAGGCACATGATATATGCAGCTTATTTTCAAACAATCATAGAGAAAAATGTTTATAAATATTGAGAGAACAGATGGAACGAAATGTTGACAACAGGTGACTCTATGTACAGGATTTGTTGTTCTGTTCTTACCTTTTTTTGCCCCTGTAAATTTGAAATTATTTTCAGTTGAAACAGCAACAACAACACAACCTCTATTTAAAAACTCATTGAAACTACCAAAATACTGTACAAATTTTAGTCTGCTAGAGATAGAAATTGAAAAGAATAGCTATGAAATTTTTCTCATTGATTTTTTTTTTGGATACAAGTGACTCAAGTAGTTAGTTATAAGAGAAGAACTCAAGACTCATTATGAATAATTCTCTTACCACTGCAGCTGTGAGACTTTTTTAAGTCCTATTCCGGGGGGTGGGGGAGGAGGGCATAGCTCAGTGGGAGAGCGCATGCTTAGCATGCACAAGGTCCTGGGTTCAGTCCCCAGTACCTCCATTAAAAGTAAATAAATAAATAAACCTATTTACCCCCCAACAAAAGTCCTATTCTGGTCTTCACCAAAGCTCAGTAAGTAGGTGATAAAGATAACCCATACCAGCAAAGTATCTCCCAGCGGGATCCACCTTCCCATCATTGAATCGATTGTTTTTCTTGTCTTTATCTACTGTGGCCAAGACAAGTGTTGACTGATTTGCCCAGTTCAAAGCACAGAACTTTGTTCCAACGGTGGCGACATAGTCTCCTGACTGGCGAAGGGCCACAGAGCTGACTGGGGCATCTGCAGAGGCAAAAGCAGTAGTCAGGGTGCGGGGTACCGTCCTGTGGTCCAGCAGCACCCTGCGGCCAGGAGGTCACCTGGCATCTCTAAGGGGATGCAGCTCTTTTGACGATTGGGAGTGCTCCCTTCTTTCTGTTGAGTAGTGAGGGCTACATCACTGAGTATATTCATTGAGCATGAACTCCATATGCCGTTCTGGGCAGCAGAGGTTGAAAGATGAAGGAAACCCAATTCCTCTGGAAGCTCCCAGTCTAATGGGAGAAGCAGAGAAGTCAAACCACAGCAGCCACCACACACTGGGGCAGGCGCCACCGCAAGTTCAGAGGAGAGGTTGCTAATGGGGGTGGGGTGGGAGGGGGAGTGAACCAGAGCCCTAGTCACAGAGCAAGCGATGCTCAGTTTGCCTGATCTTCAGAAAATTCAGAGACACAAACTGTTTAGTTCCAGCAACTAGATTTTGTGACAGCTCTCTCTCCCTCCAACACAGGACTTGTCTTTTTTTTTTTTTAATTAGGACTCATCATTTTTAAGGGGCTCTCTTTCCTACGTATTGAATTGAAAATTGTTTCTCAAATCCTTTTTGGAAGTAAGCATGATTAAAAAAATAATAGAAATGTACCTGCAGTGATTAAAAAAATCACTTCATTATACCACATTTAATATATTTAAATTTAAGGTTTTCTGGGTTTAATATTTTTCCAAGTATAAGAAAACCTCTTATTTTTTTAAGTGGAGAGACTGATTACCATGGTGAGGTAATTAGTTCATCAGAATGTGTCTTGAAAACATTCCGTAAGCACCTATTCAGTGCAAGATGCTGCGTTCTTTGGGAGCAACTCTTCACTAAAAGCCCTGCACGGAAGTTGACTCAAGCCATTGAATCCCAGGGCAGGTGCAGGACACTATTAAGAGGGTAACATTCTCATCAGGGATCCCAACCTGTGGCCTGAGGCTTCTGTTAGCTTTTAAGCTGCTGCTGACGTCACAAGCCCTTTCCATGGTTTTTTTGTTTTGTTTTTGTTCTGTTTTGTTTTGTTTTTTGCAGAAGAGGGCTAGGAATCTACCCCTAACCTGTGCGTGCTGGGAAAGAGAGACTAGGGAAGGCGATGGGTCCCTCCTCCCACTCTGACCACAGAGGGTTAGTCACTTCGCCTCTAGCCACAGTCATGTGCCGGGGTTAATTAAAAGCTGTTCTCTCTCATTAAAAGAAGAGTTTGATATCATATGATATTTTCATTGCTCTTTCTGGTTTGTTTCACTAGACTGATGATACATCAGAAATTGACACATTGTAACTGACTATGCTTCAATTAAAAAAAATGTTTGAAGTCCCCAGTTCTGGGTTGAGAGAGAGAATATCCTAAGGTCACAGGGGTTCCTGGTATCCCTTTCCCATGAATGCAATAATGAAAATAAACATCTTGATTGCTAGCCAAGCCCCATACCCTTGGGCTATAGAATGTGATAAACCCCTCCTCTGGAAATCCCAGGGTCATAAACAGAATCACATTCAAATGCACTCGAAATTCCTTCATGCATCTTATCTTGCATAGTGAACAGAAAGTCCTGGTTAATGCTTTATAAGAGCTCTTCTCTGCACATTCAAAGAAGGGATACAGCTGTTATTTTTCTGCAAACTAAGGTCTTGGCCTGATCCATGGTAGAGGGCCTTTGCTGTGCCACAAACCAGGTCTCTGACTTTCAACGCTGTTATTTGAAGGTATTAAGGAAAAATCCTACCATGACTCATCTTCCAAAACAAAATGGAGAATGTTGCCCCAGGACCAGCAGCGAAGAGGATGGTATTGACCATCCAGAATCTACTCCTGGATCAAAGTAGGGGACACAGAAAAGATGACAAGCCAAGAGTTTTAAAGCATATTCAGTACATTTTACCAAGAAGGTCCTGGAGGAACGACATATTAGGTGATCGCCCCCTCCCCAGGGAAGAGATGGCTGTCTGGGCAGATCCGAGCCCAGCCTTCGTCCTTACCCACAATCACTCGCTGCACTTGTTTACTGAGCGAATCCCACCGGCAAACCTTTTTTGCAGGAATATCTACGAAGAGCAGAGACTTGGATGCTTCTTCCCACACTGGAGACTCACCGCAGCGGCAGTTCTCCCGCAAAACACACTCAATCTTAATGGAAGACATTGTCATGGGGGGAGATCTACTGAAGGCAACAGAGACAAAATGAAATGTCATCTCATGGGGCAAATTCAGCGAAACACCTGGCTTAAGACCCCGGTCAGATCCCAATACAGACAGGTTTTTTTTTCTTTCTTCTTTTCTTCTTCTTCTTCTTTTTTTACCTTTAGCTCTGTTTTACTCAAATATTTCATATTCCTTAAGAATTGGTTTTGGGGACTGAGCTTTTAAAATTAGAACTGGAAAGGCTGGACACTTTCCCCAGATCAGAACAAAATATGTAATGTAACAGGAGGAGACGTATGAGAAAGAAGTAAGAGCGGATAGGCCATAACACAAGAGATCTTCAGTCAACTTACCAGCACTCTTTTTTTCCCCCAAGCTTTCTTGAAAAAAGAGAGGGAGAGAGAAAGCAACACTCCAAAACCCACACCTTGGCGCTTGTGACCCTCAGAGAGAGCTGGCTGTTCAGACAAGGCAAGGCTCCCTTTATGTCAGCATTCTAGCCCCCAGGGCAGGTCAGGGGGCGGGCAGCTCCCTCATTGGTGGCCCCTCTGGGCGTCTGCAGGGTCACCTTCTCCTGCCGCCCTTCCCTATCTGTGGATGTTGTGGGTTGCCTTCTCTGACTGCTCAAAGGCCATAGTTTCCTGCTCTGCATTTTTCTGAGCTGCATTTTTAGAAATATGCCCACCAGTGGTAATGCACTAAATAGAGCTAACATCCATTTTCAAATTCAGACAGTGGAAAGGGGGGAGAAAAGGACATTGTAGGGGCATCATTGTAGGAACTGACAGCCCCTCAGCTAGTTCTTGCTGCCTAGGAAGGCACTGGGCCAGTGTGGCAAGGAGTCTTGAACTCCAGAGGCAGGAACATTCTCTGTTGGTTGTGACTGGGTAACAGGTAGAAGAAAACGAAAACTTACCGGAAAAGAAAAAAAGAATCCTTACCTAAGAAACCCATGTGGGAGAGGAAACACAGGTAACTTTCAAGAGCCTTCTCTCTTTCCCCAACTCTGCCCTAATGGTGATCAAAATTGCCTGCATCTTCATCCTTTTGCCTGACAACTAACTGATTTGAAGTCAGTGGTCCCATGCACGGATGGGTAAATTAATGATAGGGGTAAAAGGGAAAAATAATCTTTGGTTTAATATTTCCTTCAGTAAACCGCCTTTTTTTTTTTTTTAAAGAAACTCACAGCTGACATCATCCCCAAATACTGCCTGCTGGCGCCGGAGTATTCGCAATCCTCACTGGCTGTTAAAAATTGTCAAAGACTCCAAAGATCTTCCTGCTATCAATCTGAGATAAGGCCCAAGGTCACATGCGGGACTTTTGCAATAGCAGCTTTTAATCCCACGCTCCGTTGTGCAAGGCGAGGGTCGGGGGTGGGGAGGGAGGAAAGGGCTGGCAAGTGTCCGTTTTCTGCCCCGGCTTCAGAGAGCACTGCGAGACGGGGCCGAGGCCCGGAACCGGTGGCCCGGCGGGGACGCAGCGGCAGGTGGCCGCGCTGCGCGGGGATACCGCTGCGGCCGGGGCTCCTGGCACCCGCCGTTGGCGCGGCTGCGGCCTCGGGTGACTGCGGGGCCCCGGGGAACTGAAGATCGCGCCCGCCCGGTCCCCAGCCCGGGTGGCAGAGAGGGTCGGTCTCCCTCCAGCCGCGCGGGTTTGGGGAGTTGGCTGTCGCCAGACGGTCCCTCTCACGGGGAGGGGGTTGGAGGGCGGGCTCAACCCGGACACTCACCAAACTGGTGACTCGCAGGCGGCTCGAGGTCAGGTGGCCGAGCAGGGCGGCCCGGGCTGGGGCTGGGGGTGGGGCTGGGGTCCGGCACCCCCACGCCTTCCCCTCCTTCGCGGCTGCAAGAATCCAGCAGAGCCACCCGGGCAGGGCGGTGGGGCAGAGGCTTCGAGCCCAGCGGACCTAAGCCTTGGAGTTTGGACGGATAGCTAAAGGTTATCTCTGATTTAAACAAAAAACAAAGTTATTAAAATGCCTCACCGAGAGACTGGGTCGAGGGTCCGGTTAAACACAAACAGGTTCAAAAGGAAAGTTCAAAGCGGTTAAGCAAGTCCTCCCTTTTCCTAATGGAGAAGAGCCTGCTGGCTGGAGGCCAACTCTTGCAAAACGTCTTTGGTGGGGGAAGAGAAGAGTCTTTATTTGATGCTGAGTGAAGTCAGACAGACTTACAGGTGGAATCTAAAAAATAAAACAAACTAGTGAATGTAACAAAAAAGAAGCAGACTCACAGGTATAGAGAACAAACTAGTTACCAGTGGGGAGAGGGAAGCTGGGAGGGGCAAGATAGGGGGAGGGGATTAAGAGGTACAAACTACTATGTATACTGTTTTTTTTTTAAATGGAGTTACTGGGGATTGAACCCAGGACCTCATATATGCTAAGCATGTGCTTTACCACTGAGCTATACCCACCCTCCATCATCAAACTACTATGTATAAAATAAATAAGAATCAAGGATATACTGTAAAACACAGGGGATAAAGCCAATATTTTATAGTAACTATAAATGGACTATAACCTTTAAAAATTATGAATCATGTACACCTGAAACTTATGTAATATTGTACATCAACTATACCTGTTAAAAATTAATAAATAAAGTTCTGTGGAATAAATGATCCTAAGCCACAACTCAGTTTCACATTCTCCATGGAGAGCCTAAAATGTATGCCTGGCTCTGCCACCTGACCATCCGTACTTTCTCTAAATAACCCCCAAGTTTCAAACATTGAAAAATAAAATTAAGGGGAGGAGGTAAATAGAATGGTGGTTGCCCCTGGGAGATGGGAGCCAGGGATTAACTGTGAAAGGAAGTTGAGGGAATTTTCTGGGGGTGATGGGGCTGTTCTGTATCCTGATGGAAGTCTGAGTTGCACAGGTGTATGTACTGTCAAAAATCATCCAGTGGTACACTTGAGTTTTGTGCATTTTATTGTATGTATTGACTCCAAGATCAGTATTATCTCATTATTTGTATCTCTGAGTCTAGTGCCCCATTCCTTGCCACCTGCACTATCAAATTGCTCTCAAATTGCAATCGTTGCGGCATTCTAATTGCCTTTAATTCACTAAGGAGGAAGGACCAGAAATCAATACCCAAAGGCGCAAGGCTCTAGGCAGGCAGGAGATGGTTGGAGCAATCCCAGCTCAGAGTTTGTGGTCAGTACTTAGAATAGCTGGCATTTATGGCCTCAATTATTTTGCATTCACCCTGGGAGGCAGTTGAGACAACTACTCTCCCATGTCCTCAATTACAGATGGGAAAACACAAGTCTGCAAAATGAGTGGCTTCCCAAAACCACACATCGAGCCGGGAAAAAGCTGGCAAATAGCCTAGAGTGTCAATAGAAAAATAAGAGCTTGAAGGACATTTTCTTCGGTGAGGCAAAGAGTGAGACTTCGACCTCAGATGTTAAGGTTCTCTTGTGCACTCTTCCTATTCAGTGGATTCCTCTAATCCCTTAATGTTGATGACTCCCCAGACTATATCTCAGCCCCGATCGCTCCTCTAAACTACAGGCCTGTAGCTCAAACTCTCTACTTAACAGCATCACTGAGCTGTCGAAAACCAATCCTATTATTCTCACCAACTTCCTGGGCACTCTCCTTTGGTGAATGGGGCTGGTCCAACCATCCATCAGTTGGATTGTGTAAGAAACGCGGACACCTCACTACACTTTTCTGGTTCCCTACTCAAGTCCAGTGAGTCACCAGATCATAAACACTGTTCCTTTAATGTCATTCCCACTATGTTGGCACTGCCTGAGAAGTTCAGACCTTCCCCATTTCTTTTTTTTTTAACACTTTTATTGATTTATAATCATTTTACAATGTTGTATCAAATTCCAGTGTAGAGCACAATTTTTCAGTTATATATGAACATGTGTATATTCATTGTCACATTTTTTTTCACTGTGAGCTACCATAAGATCTTGTATATATTTCCCTGTGCTATACAGTATAATCTTGTTTATCTATTCTACAGTTTTGAAGTCGCAGTCTATCTCTTCCCACCCCCCACCCCCTTGGCAACCACAAGTTTATATTCTATGTCTGTGAGTCTATATCTGTTTTGTATTTATGCTTTGTTTGTTTTTTTTTTAGATTCCACATATGAGCGATCTCATGTGGTATTTTTCTTTCTCTTTCTGGCTTACTTCACTTAGAATGACATTCTCCAGGAGCATCCATGTTGCTGCAAATGGCGTTATGTTGTCGTTTTTTATGGCTGAGTAGTATTCCATTGTATAAATGTACCACTTCTTCTTTATCCAGTCATCTGTTGATGGACATTTAGGCTGTTTCCATGTCTTGGCTATTGTAAATAATGCTGCTATGAACATTGGGGTGCAGATGTCATCCTGAAGTAGGGTTCCTTCTGGATTTATGCCCAGGAGTGGGATTCCTGGGTCATATGGTAAATCTATTTCTAGTCTTTTGAGTCCTTCCCCATTTCTTGCCTAGATTGTTGTTATCTCCCTGGAGGTCTTATGTCTTTGGATCTGCTGCCAGGATGGCCCACTAGACTGTGAGTCCTGTAGGACAGGGGATGCATCTTATTCACCCTCAACTCCCACGTCCCATCACTGTGCTGACAACTTGTAGTTGTTCAACTACATGCCTTTTTTTGGGGGGGGTAGGGAGGATGTAATTGTATTCTGAAAAAATGTCAGTCTTACAGAAAAGTTGCAAAAATAATAAAGAATTCATGACAACCTATTCACGCAGATTCCCCAAATGCTAACAGGTTACCACATTTGCTTTCTCATTCATATATACATGAATTTTTTTTAAATCTTAACAATTTGAGAGGTAGTTGTAGACATGATGCTCCTTTACCTCTAGATCTTGTGGTGTGCATTTTTTGTAGACAAGGACATTCTCTTCTATAACTACAGCACAGGTATCAAGATCAGGCAGTCAACATCAAGAACAGTACTATCTAGCTGAATTACATCAGTTGTCCCACTAATGTCCTTTATAGTGAAAGGAAAAAAACTATTTTGTTTCCAAATCCAATCCAGGGTAAAGCACTGTGTTGAGCTGTGTTTTGTCTCCTTTGACCTGGAACAGCTTCTCAGCCTTTCCTTGTTTTAAGACATTGACATTTTAGGGATTCAAAATGTAGAATGTTCCTTAATTTGGGATTATTTGATTTTTCCTCATGGTTACTTCAGTTCATGCCTTTTTGGCAATACTACAAAAGTGGATGGATGGTGTATCCTTCTTAACATCGACAGGTAAACGACGTCGACTTGTTAACTTTGATCACAGTATGTGGTTATTGAATTTTTATAAAATACCATCTAATCATACCATGCTTCAATGGACCTAAAGGCATTTAGGGCCCTGCAAACTTGCTGGTCATCCCTTCTTGACCTTAGTCATGGTCTAGCTATATACTCTCTCTGCTCCTTGCTTTTGAACTTGCTACTTCCTCTGACTAGAACACTTTCCTCTTCCCACCAATCCAACCTCTACCTCTATACTGGGCTAACTCCTATCTAAGATTCACCCTATTGTCCCCTCCACCAGGAAGCCTTCACTGATGCCCCTGGCTCTGAACTGTCACTTTTACAGCATCCTGTCTTTATGTTTTATTATGATACTCATCACACTGAGAACCGTTGGTTTGTCTGTCTCTTCTGCCCCATCAGAGAGTAAGTCCTGGATCTTTTATTATGATATAAATCCCTTCATTCATTCATTTGTTCATCCAATTGCAAAAATATGGCTTCATTGATTCCTTGCAATGAGGGAGAACATAGCATGGTGGAATCATGGGATGTCTCAATAAGAAGGTGTTAGAGTCTACTACAGAATTTGGCCTTGTATTAGGTGATTTGGGGGAGAGTCCAAGAATTGGAGGCTGTCAGGAAGTGGGGTAATATTCTATGATTGGGTATCTTAGTTCTTTTTTTTTTAACAGAGGTACTGGGGATTGAACCCAGGACTTCGTGCATGCTAAGCACATCCCCTGCCACTGAGCTATAACCTCCCTCCGGGTATCTTAATTCTCATTTAGAAGGCGAGAAGGGAGTTACTGACAAAGAAGCAGCACCCATTCATATGAGCTAGGAGAGGGTGATGTTTAGTCATTTTGGGGATTTGGACAATGTTCATCTGCCTTTTTTTTTTTGGTCTTAGTCCATCAAAGTCACAGAGTGACCTTGTCTGATGTTGGTGTCTGTGAAAATGTTCATGTTCAACAGGAGAGCACCAAGGCCTTACTGTGAGGGTCGGGCCAGCTCCTGGATGTCAGAGGCTGCATTTCTTTCTCACTTCCCCCTTTTGTCCAGGGTCAGATGAGATCAGGCCACAGGACATGAATCTCTATATTTTCATCATCACCATTGCTGAGATTTTGCGAGCTGGAGGTGTCTCAGAGACAGTTGCCTGCAGTAGGACTCGGGCAAGTGTCTCCTCCTCCTTTTGTTGCAGGATGAGGTGTTGAATCCTCTGATGTGACAAGGGCTATGCAGTGGCATTTAAGACTCTGGACAGGATATATTGGCCAAAAGTACCACTTGTTTCTGGGAAACAAGACGATGATTTATCCTTGTTATAGACCCTGGGCACAGAGGCCCAGATGACCAAACCCACCGCATGGAAACATGGTCCAGAGTCCAACTGGTCTCTTGTAGAGATTCAGCTGCCTTTTTTCTTTTGGCCTCATCAGAAATTG